ATTGTTTTTTCAAAAGAATATATAATTGTGTTATATGATTACTAGTAGTTAATTTTAATATTTTTTATTTTTTTATATCATTCATTTCCTAAAATGATAAAATAAAGTGATACTGAGATATGTCTTTTAAATATATATTTTTTTGTAAGAGACATTTATTTTTATATTATGTGTGTCGATATGGTATAAAAATTAGTGTAGATCTTGGGATTAAATTGATGTCTGAAGATACATAACGAAAATTTCATTTTTACAATGGTTTCTCAATTTGAAAAATATACTATATTTTTCATACATCTATTTTTCCCTATAATTAACAATATTAAAAAAAGGATTAAGAAATATCTTAAGTTGGTTTATTGTCTCTTGAAGACTAAAACAAAAATATTGAGATTCTTTTTTATGTATGAGACCATTTCAACTAACATTATTTGGTTCCCCAAAGTGAATGTAACAATGTATTAATTATTGTCTTCTCATATTCAATAGTATGATAAATTAATGTTATATGGTACTACAAAATATAATTGAAGGCTCTCCTAATATATTGTTATTGGGAGGAACAAAGTTGCATATTAAACATGCATTATATTTTTTTAAGTCTTATTAAAATTTATTAAGTTTCAAGGATATTCGTTTAAATGGGTACCATATTTAAACAAACAATGAAGGAAATATAGAATATCTTTATATCATGAAACTTCACTTGAGTAAAAAGGAAGTATTGGAAAAATTACTCGCTTTCTCCTATGATCTATATTGCATGTATATTAATATAGTTGAAACATATATTATTGTAAACTAGGTGTTTACAAATCAAAATAAATTTGAGGTTTGGCATGATCGATTGGTTTACCTTGCGTCTATCATGATGCAAAAAAATAATTAAAAATTCATGCAAACACTTATTGAAGAGTCAAGAGATTCTTCAATTAAATATTTTCTCATGTATCGCTTATTCCAAGGGAAGTTAATAATTAAACCATCACCAGTAAAAATTGGGAATGAATATATCTTGTTTTTAGAACAGATAAAGATTATATTTGTGGACTAATACACCTTCCATGTGAACCATTTAAATAATTTATGGTTTTAATTGATGCATTAAGATGGCCACATTTTTATTTATTATCAACTCGAAACCAAACGTTTGTGAGATTATTAGCTCAGCTAATTAGATTAAGAACTAATTTTTTTGACTATCCAATTAAGAAAATTGGTCTTGATAATGCTGGTGAAATCACATCTCATGCTCTTAATGAGTATTGTATACTCATTGGAATTGATATTGAACATCCAGTAGCACATGTTCATACACAAAATGAACTTGTAGAATCATTCATGAAATGTTTAAAATTGATTGTAATACCATTATTCATGAGATCAAAACTTTCGATGTCAACTTAGGGACTTACGATCTTGCATGCTGTAATATTAATTTACATCAAAAAAACAAGTTATCACAAATTCTCTCCTTTATAGTTGATTTTTGGTGAACAACCCAATATTTTTCATTTAAGAATCTTTAGGTGTGTTGTATATGTTCCAATATTAGGGGGAGAGAGTAAATAATTGCAAAAAGGATATTAGTTGAAATGAATTATCGTTATCTCATCTTGATCCCCATACAAAACAATGTGAGTTAGAAATTCAAAAGATAATTGATTTACAAAAGTTTAACCAAAAGAGTGGTTAAATCATATACCAACTGTTAAGGCTCTAACAAAAGTGATGCCCCTATTGGACAATATTATAAAAAGTCTCAAATACGCATGAAGCATGGTAGACTTATTGATTCCAAATATAAGAAATTTTTTATTTAGGAAAGGAGCTAAAAATCAAGATGGTCAAATCAAGAATATAGAAAATCTAAAAAAAATTTCTGACATAATAAGTTCCAAAAGAACTCAGGTACCTAAAATTTGTGAAAACAAAGAGATCTCAAATTATGTCATGAATGGAAATATAATGGAACCAAAATGAAATCAATGTTGACGATGTATTTGCATATAATTTAGCACTATGTGATAAATAGTAACAAGGATCAAGAAACAAAGTCTATTAAAGATTTTAGAAAAAAAAATGATTGACCAAAAGTATAGAAAAACTCAATTGAGACAAAATTAAACTCGTTTATCAAATTGAAATGTTTTTGGACACGTAGTTCGTACACCTAAAGATGTAAAGTTAGTTGGACTTTGGATTTGTAATTCATACACATGAAGATGTGAAATTAGTTGGATATATAATGTTTTTATGCAAAAATGAAATGAGAATGGTGAAATAATGAGATACAAAATAGGTCTTGAAAATCAATGATTTTCACAAAGATCTAACATGAATTTTTAAGAAACGTTCACCTTTAGTGGATGTAAGTATTTTTCAATACTTGATCAATCAAGTTGTATATGAAATACTCATTTAATGAATATTACAACCCAATTTTATGGATCACTTGATGTTGAGATTTATGTGATATTCTTCAAAGGATTTTAACATTTCCAAAATATTGGTGCAAGTTCTTGAGAAAATTACTCAATCAAATTATGTAAGTCGTACTATGGACTAGAACAATATGAGTGATGTGATATGTGCAAAGAATGATATAGACATGATATGATCATTTTTCATGTATTTTTGTTAAAATATATGAAATTGAGTTTATTGTTATATTTTTGTAGATGACATAAACATTTTGGAATTCTTGCGGAGATTCAAAAAGTTATAGATTTCATAAAGATAAGATTGCAATGAAGGATGTTGAAGGAACAAAGTTCTGCTTATCATTCCAATTTGAATATTTAAATTCACTAGTACAAAAGAGGTGTACTACGTCGGTCAGTTTTAGCTTTCTACGTCAGACATTACGACATCCGACGTAAAAAAGTAGGAAAAAAATAAAAAAAAAAACATAAAAAAACAAAAAAAGGCCAGCAGAACGGGCCGTTCGGCTTCCAGAACAAGCCATTCAGCTTCGTATAACAACCCAAAAGAAAACGCCCACTAGGTATACAAATAGAACAACCAAAAAATCAAATAAAACAGATAGTCAGAGTAGCAATGCGAAGTAGAAAAGTGTTAAGGAAACCTTAATTCATACCTGAGGAGCAGCAACAATGTGCAAACGAGTAACAAAAGATTCATCCCTCTGCAAAAGACAAAAAAAACGATTCAGTAACAAAGGAGAGGGAGAGGGTTTAGAGAGAAAAAAATGAAAAGTGAGGAAGAGTGAATGCGCGCGGTGTGCCTCGCGCTCTCTTATTCAAATTTGCATCCTTTTTTACGTCGGACCTGGTAGGGTCCGACGTAAAAAAGTTCGCAAAAATTACAAAAATGCCACCGCATTTTTTTTACGTCAGATTTAAGTATTTCTGACGTAAAAGGGGTGACGTAATATGCTAATTTTCCACTAGTGATTGTAGAGTTTTTTGTGCATCAATAACTTTATTTGAAAAAGGTGTTTAAAAAGATTTATATGAAAAAATTATATTTGTTCTGCACTCCAATGATTTCAAGGTCTTTAGATGTAGACAAAGATCCTTTTATTATCAAGAAAAAGGATAAAGTGTTACTTAGTCCTGAAGTACCATATCTTTGTATTATACAAGTACTAATGTATTTTGATATATAATTTATTATCATTTTACTTGCAAGATATAGTTATTCACTTATATAAAATTGTTGGAACGAAGTTAATAATATTTTCCATTATCCTAGAGGAAGTTTTTTGGTCAAATCCTCGTAATGATAAATCGCAAACTAGGTATTTGTTTACATGTGGTATATAGTCATACACGAGAGATTGTTACATCTATTACTTGGTTGAAAGAATAATGCACTAAAGGAGATGGAACAAAATATTTTTTCTTAAGTTCTTTTTGACTTGTAATCATCAAATGAGTGTCGCTATAATTATTCAACAAGTTTCCTTATGTATGAAAATATCACTTTACAAAGTCACTGTCAAGTACAATAATTTGAGCAATTGGTACACAAGATTGGTCTTTTTTGTCCTAGCGATGATCATTTGTATTAGGGGGAGACATTCTGCACTCTTTTTCCCTTCGTCATGATTTTGTCCCATTGGATTTTCTTGACAAGGTTTTTAATGAGGCTCTATATGATATCATATTAAAGAATGATGTAATCTTTTCTTCTTCCCTAGGTTTTTATCCCACGGAGTTTTTTCTAGTAAGATTTTAATGAGACATATTGACATTCAACAAGGAAGGTTATGAATAATAATTGGTAGTTCAATTAATGAATCAATATTTAATATAGATTATTACCATTTATTTCAATTATGTATTATTTACTTTTTTTGTGTAATTATTCAAATATTATATGTACTTATAAATAGGTTAATTCTCTCTTAGAAATTGTACCTGTCTGAAGGGTACACTAGTAAACTTCTCGTACTCCGAAGGCCGAATGAGAGCTCCAAGCGAATATTCCAGTGAGAGGGAGGGTACCTGCAAATGGCACTCCGACGCTCAAGTCAGGACAAGCACAAATATCGATAGTAATTAATGAACAGTGACGTTACCTCGTGACATTAGCTATTTATATTAACATTAACGGGCCCTGATTTCCCTGGGCCCTGCAACAGGATTACCGTATTAGGTAATACGTCCCTAATCGGCTTATCAGTGTGATTAATCCTTAATTCTTGATTAGGGACAATTCTTGAGTCCATGGTGTACTTTACTTGGGACTTTGACTACTCGGTAGCCGATCGGCTGTTGGCTACTAGGTTCGACTATTCGATGGCCGATTGGGTGTCGGCTATCAGGTGGTCGAGTGCTTGTACCCATACAGAAATAATACAATCATTTTCTCTATCTCATATTATCTTGTTTGTTCTCTCTATCTTTATCTTTCTTTTCATAACAATGTTATTTTTCTTATCTCATTTTTTTCAATAACTTTTTATCCCCTTAACTATAAAAGGTGCTTCATAAATTGAAATTACATATCAACCAACAACATTAGTAGTAAGCATGGAGAAAGTGTTGAATGGAGCAGAAAAATTCTCTGAATCATGCAATATGCTGAAGATGGTTCTTGCATTGGCGTTGTATCTTGGAACAATTCATTTCAACCTTGCGTTGATATTCTTCGCCACTTTCTTTCTTCCTCTCTCTAAAGCACTCTTGTTGGTCTTCCCTTTTCTTCTTATCTCAACACCTAACATTAATTTTGTTCCTTATGTTAAATGGATTTTAAAATTTTCATGATAGGGTGTTTGGTTTGCTCTTGGTGTTAGTGATGATTCCTGTGGACGAGAAGAGCATGTTTGGCAGAAAATTGTCAAAGTATTTTTGCCCTTTTCTTTTCTTTCACTTATTTTTAATAAAATCCGCAATATTCATTTCACTATTTCATTTTGACTATATTTCAGATACATATGCAGACATATTTGTTCCTATTTTCCTATAACTCTTCACATAGAAGAAGTAGAAGCCTTTCGTCCCAATCAAGCATATGGTTTGCATCAATCCTTAAATTTTGAGCATATTGAATGGTGTTTTTGTTTGAATTTAATTTAAATATACATTGAGTAATATTTTAAAAACTAATTCAGATCCTGTCCCATTCGATTCAGAAACCAATACCACTACTAGTCCAAAAATAAATTTAAGCAAATTTCATTCATTCAATCACATGTAAAATAAGTTTGCCCGTCCTTGTAATAATTATCTTAAAAAAAATATTTTTTTATTTTTTATTTTTGTTGACAGTAAAAAAGATTTTTTTTACATCAAAGTTAAACTCTTATAATTTTTAGAGAGTAAAAACTGAAAGAACATAAACAGTGAAAACTTAAATTTAAAAATATTTAGAAAATCTTAAAGATGTTATAATTTTTTTATTTTGAAAACAAAAAAAAAATATTGTTCTTAAAAAAAATTTTAAAAATCATTTTTATAAAATATTTAAAATGCAAAAAAGAAAAATATTTTCAAAACAAAAGCCCAAAAAAGACAAGTTTTTTATTTTAGCATTTGTTTTTCGTGCTTATATTTTATTTCATATAAATTTAAACTCCTTTTACCCCCTTCTCATCTTAAGAATATACATACACTCTTGCCATGTCACTAGATAAAGCAAAAAGATTGTTTACCCTGCTTTTATAGGATTTGATATAGTCCTTTTCCATTTGTTGGATGATTTTTCTTCTGAATTTGCACTCTAAGAAAGGGGTCATTAGAATATTGAGACCATATTTCCTTTTCTCACGTTATGGTTAATTGTTCTCATTAAAAAAAATTCCTTTGATTTTTGAATTTAATTATTACTATATCTCAATTTTAACAAATGGAAATCAGAAGCAAATTAATTACTAGTAGAATTTAAAAATAGATTTGCTTCTTAGTGAAAATAATCAAAGTACAAATCAGACTCAAATATTTTGCCGTGTACCTCATCTGTCCTAGCTCTTCCATTAGGCACATTAATGAGTTTAATGCAATATGTGGACCACTTCAACTTTAGAATTTAAATCAATTCATTTAGCTACATCAATTACCTCAATTTGTTAAATATAATTTTCCAAACATTGAACACTCTACATGTCCTGCATTAAATAATTTCGTCCGTTTTGTCTAATTAAAAAAAAAATAAGTTTAATGCATACCAGTCCTAATTTTTTCTAGAAGTTTTTAATTAGATTCATAAATTAAACACATTTATAAATGATTCCTTCTTCTTTTTATACTTTAGTAATTTATTTTTTAAAAAATATTTATAATTTATGAAATTTTATAAAATATTTTTAATATCACATACTTGAATAATCATATTAGATTGTTATATTTCGTGTTACTGTTCATATGCATAAAAAAAATACTTTGTGTACCACCCCCGATGTAGGACCGAGATCACACCGAGATCATAATGCAATATATTGACTACACACATAAGCTGACTTAAACTAGGAGGTCAATAAGGCTGATACCTCGATACATAAACAACATCAAATAGACAACACGTGACAATAATGACTAACCTAACTATAATTAACTCATCTCGGGCAACCGCTACAGCAGTTATATCGGAAAACTGCACAACCCAGGTAAGGGATAAGTATGAGAATGGACAAACGTGGAAAACTAACTTGATCGTTGGAGTCCTTTTTGCAGGTACATCCAAGATGCTCGAGCAAGGAGACCAGAAAGAGGAGACTCACCCCAGCAACCGACCTCATACGATCTCGGCTGGACCAGAACAAGGAAGACGACTTATCCGAGTTAAGGATCCAATCTGATTCGTGTAAGTACATTTGGCGCTAGAAGGAGGGCCTGGTAAAACTTTTCCTCCTTCACCCGTATGGTTTCAACCCGAAGTCAGACCAACAGAGCAACGAGTATACCACGTTCAAGCACACCGAACATGGAAGATAATCCGGCCCTACGACGGTTACTTGAACAGATAGAACTGATGCAACGACAACATGCGGCAACGATGGAAAATCTGCGTAAACAGCATGAAGCCGATTTACAACAGTTACGTGCCGAACAGGCCGCATTCCGAGCACAATGGCAGCAAAATCAACCACCGCCATACACTCATCATGCTAGCCATGTTCCACCTACTATAGAAGAACATCAGTCTTCTCCCGATCCTACATACCCACCAAAACCCACTCGAACTCATTGATCTGCACATACTCACATCAGTCGTCCTGAGTATGATCCACATTCCACTCGACGAAACCTATTCGTTGATGGAATAATGGAAGTTCCTCTCCCACCTACTTGGAAACCGTTAAACATTGATAGATACGATGGAACCACTGATCCCGATGAGCACATTGATGCATATGTTACCCAAATCAACCTTTATACGAATGATGATGCCATCATGTGCTGGGTATTCCCAACTTCACTCAAAGGGGCTGCCCTTAGTTGGTACACACAACTACCACTCAGATTAGTAGATAATTTTGATACTTTGGTTTGTCTTTTCTCTGCCCAATATGCCACTAGTAGACCTCGTCATATCACCTCAGTAGCGTTGGCTAACCTGCGACAACAAGATGATGAATCCCTCCTGCATTTTATGGAACGATTTGCCAACGTTTCCATCAAAATCCGAAACCTCAATCCTGAAGTCGCCCTCCATTCCATGCTGATGGAACTCAAACCTGGACCTTTTGTTGACAGTCTTTGCCGACACCAACCAACCAGCATGGATGAACTGAGAGCACGCGCTGCCTGATACATCCAAATGGAAGAACATGCTGAATTTCGTAATAATATCCGAGATGGTCTTGCTGTCAAAGGCGAGTCCAGTAGTAAGGAGAAGAACAAGAATCACTTCGATCAAAGATCCAAGAGACCTCGTCAAGCACGAGGTCCCAGGTATGATTTTTACACACCCCTTAACGCTCCTCGAGTTAACATTTTAGAGGAAGCTAATCATCCAGATCTGATCTCCTTACCTCCCTTGGCATACAACTCGGCCAATGCCGACAAGAGAAAACATTGTCGATATCACATAAATCATGGACACACAACGGAAGAATGTTGGAGCCTCAAAGACAAAATCGAAGAACTGATTCAAGCCGGTCACCTTGGACAATATGTCCAACGTGGTCAAGCTTCCCGCGGGGGTTTACGGGGACGCGGCAAAGGATGAGGTCCATATTCAAACCGATATCAAGGACGATACCAAGGTTACCAAGGCCGATCTGAGCAAGGTAACTATCAACAAGCACCCACGCATGAAGAAAACAAATCCAGCGCAAACAGTGTCGATCCACAGCACGGAGACAAATCCTCTACCGAGAATAACTTGCGTGGGGTCATCAATACCATTGTGGGGGGCTTCGCTGGAGGAGGAAGCTCCAACTCCGCCAGAAAGAGACATCTACGAAACGTCCACAACATCAATGGTTACGACAACGAGGACTCCAAACCGAATCCATCAACTCCTCCCATCATCTTCACCGACGATGATTATGAAGGCATAAGCCTAAACCAAGACGATCACATGGTCATCTCGGTCGAGGTGGCTAACTGGGAAGTTCAGAAAACATTGATTGACCAAGGTAGCTCTGCCGACGTGCTGTATTGGCCCACTTTCTTGAAGCTTGACATCCCTCATAATATGATCCAACCATATTCCGAGCCTCTCGTTGGGTTCGCAGGTGAGCGAGTTCATACTCGTGGTTTCATTGAATTATTAACCTCTTTTGGTACAACTCAAAATTCAAGGAGAGTATTGGCGAAGTACTTGGTTGATGCCATCACCTCCTACAATATTCTTATTGGGAGACCAACATTAAACCAGTTAGGAGCAATTGTGTCAACGCCCCATTTGACTATGAAATTCCCGGGCATAGACGGACATATAATAACTGTCAAAGCTAATCAGCAAGTAGCAAGGAGATGTTATGCTGAGAGCCTGAAGATTGCACCTACCAATCTTCAACCCGAGAAGTCAACTTCTGCTGTTATCGCCCATCGGTACAAGGGAAATGGCTAACCTGGATCCTCAAGTTGACATGCATGACCACCGACCTAGCCCTGTTGACGAGCTAATTGAATTCCAGATTGGTAAGAAGCCAGGATAGTGCACCAAAATTGGAAAACACATAGAAAATGATCTCCGAGGTAAAATCATGTCAATTCTTACTGAAAATGCTTATCTCTTTGCATGGAGTAGTGCAGATATGCCAGGGATAAACCCCAACTTGATTTGCCACAAGTTAGCTATCTACAGGGGAGCGAAGCCAGTGTCCCAAAAGCAAAGAAAGATTGGTGGTAAAAGAAGAGAAGCTGTTAAAGTTGAAACTAAAAAACTATTCAGCGCAGGGTTCATCAAAGAAATTAAGTATACCACTTGGTTAGCCAATGTCGTGATGGTTAAAAAGTCCAATGGTAAGTGGCGTATGTGTGTTGACTATACAGATTTAAACAAAGCTTGTCCGAAAGATGCATACCCCTTACCTAGTATTGACAGATTGGTTGATGGAGCTTCTGGTTATGCTATGCTTAGTTTCTTAGATGCTTACTCCGGCTATAATCAGATTTTAATGTACCCCCCAGATGAAGAGTACACTGCATTTATCACAGAACAAGACAATTACTGTTATCATGTCATGCCATTTGAACTCAAAAATGTGGGAGCAACATACCAAAGGTTAATGGACAAGGTCTTCGCGGAACAGATCGGTCGTAATCTTGAGGTTTATGTTGATGACATGGTCATCAAAATGAAATCAGCCAATGATCACATCCGAGATCTTGAAGAAGTCCTCCAACAAGTCAGAAAGTATAACATGAGATTAAACCCTGAAAAATGTGTTTTTGGAGTCCAAGGTGGGAAGTTTTTAGGATTTATGATTACTTGCCGGGGGATAAAAGCAAATCTAGACAAATTTCAGGCATTGATTAATATGAGAAGTCCCCAAAATCACAAAGAGGTACAAAGATTGGAAGGCAGACTCGCTTCTCTCTCTCGGTTCATTCCCAAGATGGCAG